TTCTCACCTCTAGAGCTGCACTGAACTCATGCTCGCCCTGCAGTGCCCTTTTTTGTTGAGGGGTGTGGTGGAAACAAGGAAGGGCCATGACCTTGTGTCCTTGGATGCATCCATGGGCTGCCAGGGACCTGCCTACACGAGGCACATGCACGTGGACACTGCCTATGAGACCTGTGCTCCCTTCAACCCGCAGGTTGCTGTCCCATGATGAGGCAGTGCCAAAACAGGGCAGTATTGGGCCTGCATGCAGCTCAGGTGGGCAGCCTCCTCCCATGGCATGGCCACAGGATGCACGGGCATCCCTCAGGCTGGCTCTGCAGCCAGGCTGGGCCTGCTGCTCCCCACAGCCAGCCACTTAGAAATATCAGAGTAATGACCTGGCAAAAAGGTTCAGGATAAGCTTATTTTGATATGAGTGAAGTTCTCTCACCAAGCTGGATTGAATAAATGGAGAGTCACTAATCATATCAGAAACACTGGTAGCAGTAATCCCAATCATAAAAGCAAAAACAGATTTCAAGTCAAGTTATGATAAGAAAACTGGTACCACAAAGGACATAAAAATATGGTGAATGAGTGAATAATTCTAGGGTTATGAAGGAAGAATGAAGAATTTTTAAGATACAGAACGAAGACACATTAAATACGCAGTGCACAGAAATCCTTTTTGATTTGATTCTGCCAAAATCTGAGCTTTCATATCACTTTCAGACAAAGGTTATTGAACTGGTTCTTTCTTATGGGCAGGGGATTATACTATGAGGAAATACATCAGGCAAGAAAAGCCATGCCACCTTGGCTAGGAAACATTCACAGTCTAGAGTATCTGATGGAAGAAGAAATAAGCATTCCAATACGCTCTAATCAGCCAGAAATGCATTTGAAAAGTGCTTCTGAAAATCTGCGTCCAGTTGCGGACACAAGGGCGTCCGTCTGTTCCTTTCCTACATGTATGGGGATCTGATCCTTCTGCTTTGCTCAGGGAGCGACCTCACAGGCACAACTCCAACCCCTTGCTGAGCAGTACAGAAAAATGGGTGTCAAACTCAGCTTCTGACACCAGCTGTCAGAGCCCAGCTGTATGGCCGTCCTCCCTTCGGCACTCACTCGGCTTCTTCTCTGGCCTCACTTCTCAAAACGTTTGACAGAACTGTTCCACGCACAGTTCTACTCATCTTACCAGAAGGGCAATCAGCATAGCATTGTTTAACTCACCAACACACAGCTCCAATAATGTCAGGCATCCTTACCTTCTGTCTTCTCTTCCAGGGCCCACCGAGATGTATGTTACAACTGTGAATGCGAATAGTTTGAGAGAGGCGTGAGCAGTCACGTTTCCTTTTTAACAGTCCTGTTTGGCTGTCGTTCAATATTTGCTTATCTGTAGCACAGCTAGAGATTAGAGAACTGACATAACCCCTTAGAAGGTTAAAGCACTCCAGAGAGATTTAGGAAATTATTTTAAGGCAACTTTAATTTTTCTTCCTCCAATTTATCAACAGCATTGTTGAGGAAGAGTGATAGTGAAGAGGAGCAGAAGTGACTGCAAGATTCCTTTTCATTTCTTTTTCTTTCTTTCTTTCTTTTTGTGTGTGCGTGTGTTTCTTACTCAGCTCCCACAAAATTTTTGCCCACACTTGTTATACCTGCACACTGTATGTGGCAGCAGTCTGAATGAACAGTCTGAGTGCACCACTCTATTGGAGTGCAGTGAAACCAGTCAGACCTGGCCTCAGCCAAGAGCTTCTAGGAGTGAGTTCTTTGCTTCCCCGTATACGAATGTGCCCACGTTATGTTTTTCTACAAGCACCTATAAGTGACATAAAATCTTGCCTGAGACCTTTCTCACTGAAACTTGCACACCAACCATGTTACGCAAGTAAGAAAATTTTGTCCCCCAGCCCTATGCCTTGTTTTGTGTAGAGTTACTTTTTAACGTGGATCAATTCTCCAGGTAGTCCTCGAACTTGCACAGCAGATCCATCAGGTAGGGGACAAGCCAGAATGAGGAGTAGGGCTAAATTCTTTTTTGCAACTCAGGGTAGTTTTAAGCCCAAAGATTAAGCCTGCACTGCTTTGCTTTCTGCTCCAGTCAGGCGTGCCCAGTGTTTTGTAACTGCAATTTCTAGTCAAGGAGTTTAGTATGAATGGAAGATGGCAGCTTTTGATCCTAAAGCAAGGCACAGAGATCATCCATTAGAGGTTTGAAGAGGCCCAAAGAGCAGCACCTGCTGTCTGTCACCAGATCTGTGTTCTAGCCAGGGCACCAAAAGCTTTGACTTAGGGAGAGACATAGTGTTTTCCAAGAAAAAACAAATAGACTGTAAAGCTATTTGGCCCTCACACAGATGGTGAATTGATAGAATATACAAATCTCAACAATACTGTACAATGACAGCATCAGGAAGTTATGACCTGCCCCTGATTGTCAGTAGTGTTGAATTACAGTCTATCAGCAGCTAATTGAACATAATTTCCATGCATTCAACTCTATTACCTGCTTTGGGATAAATCGTTCTGTACAGTATTAATAATTAACCTCAAGATCCAAATTCCTAACATATACTTAAACAGCAGGTGAAGTTGCACAAAGTCCAGTTTGTCGAGGAAAGAATATTTGTGGTTTATTGTATGGCTTAATGCCTATGTTTCCAGTGCTGTTCATTTCGACCGTTCGTGTTCTTCCCTTGTTGTTTCCTCTGGTACTTTCACACAACATATTCCCGTCCATACAGGCTGTGGCTTTCCTTTCAGAAATGCCTACAGCACTGGAAAACTGAGAGTCCTAAAATAAGCCTCCAAGTTTCCTGGGCAGATAACAGATAAAGACAGGCTTCCCACCAATCTACACTGTGAAATTAAAGAGAGAAGTAAATGCCTTACTTAGGCACATGGAATCTCAATGTAAGTTTTATACACCAGTACAAAATGTATTCAACAGATCATTGCAGTCACACCAAACTCACTTAAACCATTTGATCCTCATTCTTGGTACGTACATAGGAATAGATAGTAGCTCCACTAACTGTGAAAAAGGTTTGCAATACATTCCTTTCCTTTAAACAATCCTCTGGTACACCTATGCTCCATTAGTATTGCCTGTTACTGCACAAAATCCATGCCAAAGACATATGATGCCTGAGTTACTAGGGACCTTTCTCAGTAGTTGTACCTTAGTATTACCTAAGCGTGGCAATCAGTGGCATGATAATTGTCTGCTCATTCCTCTGGGATTTCTGTCAGTGGCATGCTCTTTCTCCCTCTTTCTTCCACTCCGTTGTGAGAGACAGAAAAGAGGGGCAGGATGTCAAAATGCTGTCTAACATGGAAGTGTGTATGAAGAAAAGATGTGGGATTTTATTCTGCATGCAGAAGATGGCAGATGGTGATAGCATGACTGTGGAGATTGAACCTTCTGGCCAAAATTCCACTAAATTTTCTTGTTTTAGAACAGATGGCAGCTGTTGTTTACAGTAACCTGCTTTTTACATTTCTAATTTTCTCCATTTATGGAATACCATTACACTCTTGTACACCTTTTGAATAAAAACCTTTCTTCTCCCATTTCCTCATTTGCCTTGGGACAATTTTTCACATCTTCAAATATAACCTATTCTCACTCTGATTTAATTTTAACACAGTTCTATTTTATTTCAGAGCTGCAGATTTTCTGCACAGCACCTTTGAGATCATGCAAAAGGCAGAGTTCAGAGCAGTGTCCCATCCAAATCGCATGATAATCCGTTGAGAACAGGTTTGTCAGAGCAGTTTGACATTTTATCTCTCAGTGTAATAATAAATACAAGTTCCTTGATAAAAGGAACTCATTGTCTCTGGATTAGAATAAATTAATGCAAAACCAAAACAACAACAAGAAAACATTAATATGTTATATGTTAATGTGTGCTTTTAGATTATTCTTCTCAAACTGAGACACCAGGCAGTCACCGACTGTGGGACACGTGGCTGGTGGAAGCTCAATTGGAAGGGACCTGGTTTTGCTGGTGACAGTAGCTCAGCAGGAGCCAGCAGTACACTCTGGTAGACAAGGGGCAAGCCACGTTCTTAAATGCATTAAACACAGAATAGCCAGAAGGTCAAAAAGTGGTGCTTCTCCAGCTATATTTACTGCTAGCACAGCCGCACTTTGCATACTGTGTGCAGTTCTGGCCTCCAAAATATAAAAAGGATGTAAAGGACTGTGAAAATGTCCAGAAGAAGGCAACAAGGCTGATAATGGGTCTGGAAGGCATGTCCTGTGAGAAGAGGCAGAGATTTTCCAGTGTACAGGAGGCCAAGAAGTAACCCCTCTGCTCTCTGCACTCCTTGTGAGAGGGAAATGGTGGTGCCAAGCTCTGCTCTTGAATGGCAAGATGGGAACAGCAGAAAGCTGAGCCACAGTAAGTTTAGAGTGGGTATTAGGAAACACTTTGTTACTGTAAGGGTGCCAAACACTGTAACAGGCTTGGTAGAGAGCTGGCTGATACCCCATTCTTGTCTTGTTCAAAACAACACCTTCCATAATATAATGTAAATTTTGGTTAGTCCTGAAGTCTGGCAGTTTAACTTGGTTATCCTCATAGGTCCCTTCTACCTTCTCCTCTCCTCTCCCTCTCAATCACAATTTCTGATTAACCTGATTGAAATAAATAAATTAATTAAAATGAAACATTTTTTGTAAAAAAGAAATATATATACATTTTGAATTGACAGAAAGTTTTAACATTGCTTTGAAGGAGAAATAAACATATCTTCTCTCCCCTTCCTCTGAATCTCAGTTCCTGATTAATCTGAGAGATAGTCACCTGAAGCTTTTCTGAGAGTTAGATAATGGCACATAAAAAATAAGCTGCTTCAGCACTCAGTGTGGAGTATATCTAGGAGAACATTCAGTAACCAAGTTGCATTGTGTAAGTTCACAGACATTCCTCCATTGCTTTCCTCAGCAATATACTGTGCAACTGAACACGAGTGGCCACAATATCCATAAAGGATGAACTTGTGGCCTTTACCTCTGGTTGTAGAACTGTACTGCTCTTTGTATTATCCTACTGTCTATGAGATCAAAATAGATCAAAGTCGTTTGTGGCTGTAGCAAAAATGCTGTCATGACCTGAAACAGTGATAGAGCACCTGGTAGGAAGGCAGGACCAACCCACGGGAGCTCAGGTGTATGCTCCACCAGAAGGGGTGGAGCCAGGATCCACCCCTTCCCAAACTCATTTAAGTGTTGGCAGGGGAAGAAAGGGCATCTCTTGTTGGAAGTCTCTATCTTTTTGTGGCCTTTCAAGGGTAAGTAGTTCTCTTCCTTCAATTTTTGTGTCATTTTGGTGTGGTTGCTGCATTTTAGCTCATTCTCATTTGCTGTAGCCTGACTTTGCTGTCCTGCTGTTATTGTGGTACTTTCTGTTCTATTTCAGCATTACAGTAGCATTTTTAGTAATTTCTATGGTCTGTTTCTCTACTGTTATGTAAACTGTGGTTCTCAACTGATGTTTAAGAGTTCTCCTATTGCCCTGCCCCAGCTGCAGCTCCTAGACTCAAACTGAGATATGTGAGGTGCCAGCCAGTTGACTCTATGAACTCTGGAAGCGGAGCTCTTCTCTGACACTTAGAGTACTTGTTTGAATGTAACAAATTTAATGGAATTTATTGTGAGCCTAGTATCCAGTATCCAGTGGAAAGAGGGAATTCTGTCTCACAGCATCAGTTGTTGTCCAGGCGCTGTCAGGAAATGTAGATGCAGAACCCTTGCAGATGATCAGGTGAGACTCACGCTCTTTTGCTCACTTATAAGCCCCTTTGGTACTACATAACCATCTTAATCCATCACTGTCCCTTCCTTTAAACAAAGGATGCTTCCTTACTCTTACGCACATACAGAAACAGACACTTGAGACAATCTTTTGTATCTGCAGGAGCAGTTTCAAAATTACTTTGTTTCAGTGTTGTTGGCCAGTTCAGCAGCGAGATCTGCCTGGGGGAAGCTGCCCACATCCATTTTTTCAGATAGGCCCTTTATGTCATGTCTGTTGGCAGACTGGGAATCACTTAAGTGCTGTGGGCATGCACAAGGTATGGCTCTGGTAAAGCAGGTACATCAGGGTACACAGATACCAAGTATTTGTAACTCAGACACCACAGCTCCTGCTGAAGCTGAGGAGCTCTGGCTGCTGTGAAGATGCAGAGCTCTTTAGAACAGAAAGTGAGAAGGCAGTTGGGAATGTTTTGGGATAAGGTGTCAGCTGCCAACTGGGTTCAGCACAAATTGCAAGCCTCCTGATGAATGCTTTGTATCTGGGATGGGTTTCCTTTCCCCATTGTAAAAGCACTAGCAATGAGACCTGGGGTCAGCAGCACCATGCCAATGGGGGCCCAGAGCTCTGCATCCTGCAGTTTCCATCAGCAATGCAGAGAGGTTGGGTTGGAGGTGTGCGGGCACTGTTATTTTGCATTCTGAGACGAGACATGGAGCCCAACAGGCAGACAGCCATGCTTCTGTCAGTAAGCAAGGGGAGAGGATTATAATAGTTATGTCTTTCAAATATACCATTCATGCGCAGTTTAGAGGGGTATCATTTGGCCTTACAAATTAAGTGAATTAAGGCATCAGGTAGTAGTTAATACCTTCTAATAATCCACAATAGAACTCACAGTAACATGTTTTCTCATGACAGAATTAACTGAATTGCTTGTTAAAAGGTTAGTGAAAGCGTGCAACCTTTGTAAGCCACTGAAACTGGTGTCAGTCACTCATTCCTTTGTACAGGTGGCCAGACAGCACAGCTGCTTGCCATTTCCCTGTGAGACCACTGCCTCCTGCAGGTCACACAGTGAATGATCAAGGCTGTACCTACAGATGCTACCTGTTGATGAAAGGTGTTCTGTGAATAAGGCAGAATGTTTGAGTGCAAGTACAGAGCTGTCATCTGGCGCTAGAAGGTTTCTGCTCTAAGTGAAGTGCTTCTGTCTTGGGCACAGTGTCCTTAGATAGTGCTGGTTCAGTTACTTCAGTCAGCACTGCCACAGCAGTTAACTAACAAGATGGTGTGTATTTTTAGAGTGACAGGTATGACTAATTAAAAAAAAAAAAAGAAAAAAAAAAAATCAGAAATCCCAAGAAGCTTGATGGCAGTTAAAATTGATTAGAACTGTATTTTTTTTAAAAACAACAACAACAACAACAAAAAAAACTACACATTTTTACCAGAAACTTAATTTTATGTCATCAAAGATTACAGCTTTAACTCGCACACTTGGAGCTATGGGATTTTTTAGTTGGACCGGGAAATAGGCAAAGATTCACATATTCCTATAAAATATCAATACAAAAAAAAAAAAAAGAGAGAGAGAGAAAAGGTCCCAAGACTACAAAGCTGCATCCAAAGTAACAGGGAGCTTCCACACTTGTGAATTTATAATCAAAGCCATAAGGGATGCTGTATCAGCATCCCTTTTAATGCATAAGTGCCACCACAGAACTTTGCTACCAGACTGAGTGCTTCAAAGATTTGTTAATATTAACATACTATTGCTCTGTCTCTCCTATTTTACTACACTTGACACTGCCAATAGCACAGTAGTTGAATGGGCCCTTCCTCCATTCTCCGGCTTAGGAGGGGCAGCTCCAGCCTTGTCCTTGAAGTGAGCAAAAGGAAAGCAGAATCTGGTATGACCAGGGAGGACAGATGTCTGTGATGAGTGATAGCAGCTGCAATGTGATTACAGACAGCTTCCAGGAGCAGAAAAACTTGTACTCCTTCCTACTGTTGACAGTTGTTAGATGGTTTAGTCCTCAGATTTTACTGAGTTGCTTTTTTTATTTCATTCCTACAAAAGGGGGGAGGGGAAGAAATCCAATCTAGCTGTCTTGGTTTTGGATAGAACACCGTTACTGTTCTTCCATAGGGGCTCATATATCGCTGTGTTTTGGACTTAAGTTGAAAACAATTGATAGCACGCTGGTATTTTACTTGTTGCTGAGCAGTGCTTATTATAACTCAAGGACTATTCAGCTTCTTGTGCACTCCTGCCAGCAAGGAGCTGGAGGTGCACAAGGAGCTGAGAGGATATAGAAGCATGATAGCTGGTACAAACAGCCCAAAGGGATGTCCCACTCCTGGCTGTTGGTAAGAAATAATGAAGAGTTCCTTGTCTTGCTTGGTTGTGGGTACAGCTTTTGCTTTGTCTAGTAATCCGGTTTTATCTCAAACCATGAGTTTTCCTGCTTTTACCTTTCCAATTCCCTCCCCAGGCCAGCTGTGGGGGAAGTGAGCAGGAGCAGCTGTGAGGTGCTCAACTACCTGCCTGCTGGTGATAAACCACAACACTGGTAAAGAACATTGAGAGTTAAATGCTTGTTAAGGGAGGAAAGACTTTTTTTTTTTTAAAGTTCATGCCTAACATTAGAGAGTTGCAAGGAGCTTTCAAACGACCATGTAGGCAGGACTCGCAGCATCCTTCTGGTTCTATATGTTGCGGAAGTTGCAGGCAGGTACTGTGCAAAATGAAGTCTGACAGGACAGAAGATGCCCTGGAAGCATGATTTTTTTTAAAAACCATTATCAGAGCAATTTTAATTAAAAAAATATTTATTCGTAATACAAAACATTTTCTTTCCATGCTACAGTGGTTTGTCTCATGCACACTCCTCGAGCAAACAATCTCCACTTTGTACACCACTGCCTCCTCCTGCCCCATGCTAACACTGACCCACCTCATAAGCACACTTCTGTTAGCAAGGGGTGCACCAAGGGAAGGCAAATGATTAAAAAGAAATGCAGTAGTAAATGAATCCCTGCTGGAATAGATCATGCCAGGTGAAAACACTCAATTGCTTCTGTACTTCACAAATAGTTGCTGGAGAAGTTGCTGAGATACAAAAGATACTTGTTAATCAAACTTTACAAGAGATGGAACATTAGCCATAGAGGAAGTATAAATGTACTTACAGAGATGAAGTTGACCAGGCACTCAAAAAAAAAAAAAAAGTAGTTTCACAGTATTTTTACCCACTGTGCTTATTAATAATTAACTATAGTGCATAGCTTGCTACAGGGCAGTGGATGTTACTTTGTAATTTAAACAACTAAGAAAATACCCCATTTTCTGCTAGCCTAAGAAGCTAATACTGAAGAGTTATACTTCCCTCCAGGTGAAGTGTTTTGATTGAAGATTAAAATTATAGGCCTAAGTTTGATGTTGTGCTTCTCCAAGCTCTTAGACATAACTTAAGTGTACAAATTGTTAAGCTAGTCACAGTCCAATATGACTAGTTCAGTGTTTTGCATTCAGCAGATTTCAGAAAGAGGTAGGTAAGGCATCCTTTAAGGAATCTTCTCTGATGTTAAGACCTGAGAAGCCAGACAGCGAGCCTAAAAAGAACGGGGGAAGGAGCGTGAATAGTTTAACAAATGAAAACATCTTTTTTTCAGTCATTAATTTAGAAAATGCACTTACTAAAGGGCTATATTTCATCCTAACTGTGATCTTTCAAGGTAATAATCTAAAGAATTAATATTTTAAAATATAAATAGAATCTTAAGAGAGAAGAAAAAATACATGTTCCCCTCCCCCAGAAAACACTACTTTAGTTACTGTGTTGTGAATTCTAGTGCACATTCTTTTAAATTTTCTTACACAAACTATTTCCTAAAATACTTACAGTTTTCTCTTCCAATGTGAGGATGCCATCTACAGCAACTATCTGGTATTGCTTTTCTTTTAAGCTACCCATAAACTTTCGAAGTAGTTTGAGACTAGTGCCATCACTGTTTAGTTTTAACAGTTTCTGCATTTCTTGAGCAGGACATCCAGGATCAAATAGTAGCAAACATAAGGCTTTATTCTTCTTTTCTTCTATGCCTACAACAGTACGGCTATGACCTAGTTTCAAACAGATTTTCAGTATTTTAGAAAAATGAAATCCCATTTACTTGCCTGTAGCATATTGCTTATTTTTAAATCAAGCAATACATTAGTAGAAATTCAACATAGTGATTGTAATTAAAAAGCAGATGTCAAAAAGCTGATATTCCACTCATGCTTTTCTACCCAATAAAAATACAAAATTAATGTTACACTTTTTAAACAGAAATTTAACAATAAATAGGCCTTCAATTAAGTGAAAAACACAAGACTGCTCTAAATCACAGCACACATAGAGGAAAAAGTAAGAAAACAAATCAGTACATTGTGATGCTGACCTTGATGTTGCAAGTAGATAGGTGGCCTGGAAGTGCACACTACCTTTGCAGTACCTTCATTATCTGTAGAATAGTAATGTAAAATCCACTCAAATAAACGAGGGTGTGTGCCTGTGGGACCAGTTGGCTTGTGGAAGTCAATAATTTGGCACCTATAGAACATTAAAAATTAAAACAAGGTATTAAATTTGAAGCACTTCCTCTTTTTTTTTAAAAAAAAAAAAAAAAAAACACCTCTCAGTCCCTCCCTCCTTCATGAAGAACACTTCATAAACAGCTGCAATTCCAGGCGCTAACTACTTCACACTATTTTTGTTGTATGTTTGCTCTTGCATTGGACATGCTGAATCATGGCCTGAACCTCTGATTGATCACCTGAGGAGAGCAATGAGTCAGCTATGGGAGCACAGGTGAAGGCAATTCACCTGTGCTCCCAGAAGGGGTGGAGACCTCTCCTAGACCCATTTAAGAGCTGGCTACCAGGTAGAAAGGATCTCTTCTGGAAATCATTCCTCTGGAGTTCTGCAGCGAGCCCAGGACATGGGTAAGTTTTCTGTCTATTCTCTCTCTTTGTTATTATAATCTGCTTTGCCAAACTCTCTTGTTTATTTCATAATTATAACAGCTTTATATTCATTGACTATACAGCTCTTATTTTAAATACAGGCACAGAAGATAGGCCAACTACAAAGGAATGCAGTAGGTACTGTTCAAAACCACAGTCTTTACCCTGTAGCAAATAAATACTCTATTCTGCTCAGCCAAACGAGCTTAGGAAGTTTGCAAAATTTCTGTAGAAATACCAGGAAGTAAAACTAACAGCAGAATATGCAACTGAGTAGCTGAAATTCAGATTGTTCTCAAGGTTCAACTAGAGAGAAAATAAGTTTTTAAAATCAGTACATAATTGTATACATATATGGCACAATTCCTCAACAAGTCTCAGTGATTATAAATAGTTATTTTCCTTGCTTATCTGCATAAGTAGTTACACAGGTTTATGATTGCATTGACTACAATGTATCCACTTACAGGCTGGTTGAATTTGAAGTCGCTATGATGGATGGTTTTTCTTCATAGTTGACAATTTTGACCCTCAGAAGGTATATGCTTAACTATTGCTTAAAAATAAAAACAGAAAAAGTAATACTTACTTTATCCTGAGACTGGTTAACAGCGAATAAATTTCACACGCTCCTATCCACGCCTTGGAACCACGTAACCGGTTGTTGAAGTGAGATGCTCCATGAGGATCAAAGCCTTCCTTCCAAGCATCTTCGATCATAGACTGAATCTTCGGTATGCTAGGAATTAGTGCAGTATCTGAAACACAGAAGCTTTTGAATTGCAGCTACAGTTACCGAAACAATCTATTAAGAACATCCAGCCTCTTTTGTAAGAGATAATAGGTATTAGAAAAATACCGCCACCGCCTCCCCCCCCCCCTCAAAAAAAACCAAACCCAAAACTAAAGCTTTAACCATATCATGCCTTACCAATATTCACCACCCTTCCAATTCTTTTCTAACAAACATTTAATAGGTATAATTGACATTGATAAGCTTTGCTGTATAAACAAAAAGGTAAAACATCAACAGTTTGTCATCTGAGGCATGTAAAACAAATAGGAAGTATTTTGATTACTACCTCTCAAGCAGTCATTATACAAGCTGTTTTGCAAGAGTGAGGAAAGGAGCATTTGGAAATTCCTGTAACCACAACCCCAGCCTTTGTCACCCAAAGATGATTGGAAGTGATCTACTCCTGCTGAAAGCCATACACGTCTCACATCTTTGTTTTCATTCTGGTAGTACTTGCACAATACCTCAGTGATTCCTGGAAGAACAAATAGAGAATCTGTAGAATGATTTACAATGTGCTGGAAAAGATTACAACTAACTGAAACATAATACAAAAAGCTACTATAAATTTGAATAGCTATCCTATAGCACTAGGTAATAAACGAACATATTCTCTCAAAGACAACCTATATGCAACAGGAGATTTTCATCTTATGACGCATATCGTACTTGAGCTCTTAACCACTCAATGCGATTCCAAAGTTTCACCCTCCCTTGGACCACCCACTTTGAAAGAAAAAAAATTAGAAGGATGGATGTTACGGACATGCTCCAGATTAATATTATTTGTGCCATAATACCAATCTGAAGTGGGGAAACATTTTGCTAAAAACACCTTTGTTCACCACAAACTATGCCCAAAATTTACATACTTCATTGCTGAACTGCTCTTTTACCTGAGGTTTTTGTTTTCCCATCATCTATACCAAAAGCCAAACATTCCATCATGTCGGCTTTTCTCTTGTGATACTCAAAGGGCTGCATCCTTCCTCTGTTAACTTCTCTTTCCATATTATTCAGGAATTGCTTCTTGTAGCCTCCAGAACCATCCAAGCCATACTGTCTCTGTAAGGGATACAGCGTTTATAATTTAAATTACATTTTAAAAATTCTTCTTCAATGATTTAAGAAGCAGCTTGCACCATCAGCAACATTGAAAAATAGTGAACAAGACATAAAACCTTTGTACTTACAGCACAAGCTGCTCCTGCCACCAACTCTTCAGTACCTGATTGAAGCCTACCTGACTGCGTAAGTCTGACCCGGTATGACTGCTCTTATTTTCATATAATGCAGGAAACACTTTCAACTTCATCAACTTCAAATGGCAGAACTCTTAAAAATTTTCCCATTTACAAACATTACTGTACCTGTAGCTTTTTAAATTCTTCCTTCTCTCGCTTCTCTTCTTCAAGTCTCTGCTGTTTATCTTCTTCAGTTTGAAGCCGCTGAGCCAGTTCTAAATCTCCACTGCCTCCACCTATTCAGGAATAACATTCCAGAACCAGAAAACTTTACCAGGAGGTTAACGATGCTTTGATGGATTGTTTACTTGAGGATTCTTTTCTGAGCAGACATTGACAAACACAGCTAGGCATCACTTTTCAAGAGGGATCCTGTACTATGCTGGGCTATTAGCAAGGAGTCCTAAACAAGAATAACAGAATTCGGATTGTTAAGCCTCAAATTCCTGACTTGGAGAATGCGTGTGCAGCCACAGATGCAATTGCTTGGAACAAACTTATTTTGATTCCTTTATCTATCATTATGACTCTGAACATTTACAGAAAAGAACTCAGAAAAAAATCAGTAGTTTTCAAAAGACTATTTTGAATTCTTCACATGGGAATGAGCTACTAGATTCTGCAAAGGTAACCCTTTCATAGGGCTAGAATATGTAAGGAGGTATCTTTATATTTATAGTATATTTTAATATATTTAATTATATTTATAATATATTTCTAAGTTTTAGTTTTACCTAACATTTAGAGCATATACTGAATAACCGTGCATAGAAAGACACTTCTCATAGCACATGTAATTAAGCAAAGCACAAGGGCAAGTGACCAAACTTGCGTTTAACTTCATTATGAATCTATTCAGTTCTCTTTTTAAATAAATAAATATTTCATTTAAATTTTGTATGAGATTCTGTACTGCAACATGCAAGTATTTTCAAAGATTATCACTTGCATCCTTTCAAGTACCTTCTGGAAAGCTGTGTTCCTCTAAGTGTAAATCCACATGTTCCTCGAGAATCTGAATGTCTGTACAGGTAAGACCACATATTGGACATTCATATAGCTGTTCAACATTCTCTGTGTCTGAAAAAGAAACACAGTTTCTTGCTTAATGCAGTTCCTGGTCGTCCTTTTCTGCTGTTTGTAAGAATCATCCCCCAGCAGCTCAAGATAAACAAAAAGAATTATGCTGGTATTGAAATTCTCCAGTGGAAGGCACCATATGCCTTGGTTAATAGCTATGGCTCTTAACCACTTACGAATTCATATTTAAATACCTGTAAAGTTCAAAGATATATTTTCCCTCTTCCTATTCAGCAAAATTTTCCCTATTAAACTTACCATAACTAGCTATAATATTTTTTATTAAGGCCTACAAAATGCCAATCAAATATCAAACCTTTAATGAAAAGATACATCCTGCTGATGGAAGAACACTTGCTTACAAAATCTTAATGCTTGTATGACAACTCAGCAATCAGCAGGCAGAAAAAAAAAACTACAATGCTGTCATGTTTCCTCAGCTGTTTCTTCTGCACTTTTAGTGTTATTATGAAGAGTAGCATATAACAGCTAAGGTTCAGAAGATCACCTGGAGATCACCAGGACCCTCAAACCATGGTCATGTCAAAATGGCTCAGGGTTATCACTCAGGGTCTTTTCCAGTCACTTTTCTGAGGTTGGAAACTCCACAATGTTCTCATTCCAGTAACAGCTTTCTTATGTTTCAGTGGTAGCTCTTTATTTCACTTGCTGCCTGCAGTCCTTCACTGCACATTACAAAGACTTAACCTTCATCCCTCTCTTTTAGTCACCTAGCCTCAGAATCCAACTCATTTGAGTTGGAAGGTGCCTTTAATAGCTATCTAATTCAACTGCCCTGCAAGGAATACTGACACCTACAACTCCATCAGGGTGCTCAGCCCCATCCAGGCTAACCTTGAATGTCTCCCAGGGATAGAACTTCCACCACCTCTCTGGACAGCCTGTCCCTACTGTAAAAAAAACTTATTCCTAACATTAAAATAAATTTCTCCTCTCTTAGTTTGAAACCATTTCCCCTTGTCCTATCCCCGCAGACCCTGTGGTGAGGAGACAGCCCTTTCCTTCTTAGTTCCTCTTTAGATACTGAAAGGCTGCTCTCAGGTCTCCCCGGAGCCTTCTCTTCTCGAGGCTGAACAGCCCCAGATCTCTCGGCCTGCCCTCAGAGGAGAGGTGCTCCATCCCTCGGGTTTTCGTAGCCCTTCTCAATCAGGTCTGTATCTCTCCTGTACTGAGCACTCCAGCACAATACGGAGAATAACAGCAGAACACGCCATGCCGTCGATTACACCCTCACATTCTGCATTCTTAACATCATTCCTTTTCCCTACCAGCACAGCCAACGCGTTACACCAGCGATGCCACGCCGTATGGGAACCACCCACCTGCGCCGAGCAACCGCCCGTGCCGCGCCCTGACGTGAGCCTCCAGCTGGCGCCCCGCCGCCTCCCCGCAGAAAGGGCACTCGAGCTCAGGGCTGCGGGGCAGCGGCTGGGGCTCCGGGTGCACGGCCTCCACGTGCCGGCAGAGCTCCTCGTAGCCCGAGGCGGCGGCGCTGCAGAGCGGGCAGCGAGGCTGCCGGTCCGGGTGGGCGCGATTCACGTGACGCCGCGCCGCCGCTTCCGAGGGCAGCACCCGTCCACAGATACCGCACACCGACATGGCGGCCCAACGGTCCGCTCGGAAGCCCCGTCCCCTTCCCGGGGCGGCGGAGGCTACGCCCGCCCTTCGCCGCCGCGCGGGGCCTGCTGGGAACGGCGAGGCCCGCCCGTGGGCAGTGCGGCGCGCGGTGGGGTGGTGGCCGCCATCTTGCGCTCCGGCTCGGGGCCGAGCGCCGCGCAAAGCGCGGCGGGATTCTCTGGCTTCGGGGGCAGCGGGCGCGGTGCGTCCCCGCTGCGATGGGTAAGAGCCGGTGGGTCGGGGAGGCCGCGTTCGGATTCGGGCGGGGCGCGGTGCCCCGTGCTGCGTAGCCGGGCTCCTGCCCGCCCGGAGGCGCTGGGCTGTGGCGGGGCGATGCCGCGCACGGTGCTGGGACTGTCCCGCAGCGCCGGGACAGGGGCTGCTTTCTTCCCGCCGCCGGCAAGAGCGCTTCTCCGTCGTCTTCTCAAGGGGCGCAGGCGAGAAGCGTCGCAAGCTGAGCCCGGGGCCGGGTGCCCTCCGTCCGGGCAGCTAGTGAGCGAGGCTGGATCTGACGCGGCGCCCAGCGCTCTCTGGGCCGGGCGACGGCTTCGCGCGGTCTCTCCGGCGCTCCGGGTGCTGAGGGGCAGCGAGGGGAGCCCTGCTATGGCAGGGCGGCCGCAACCGGGGCACAACAGGTGGGCGGCGTGCGAGATGTGGCCGCGGGGGTCGGTGATAACGCAGGCATAGCTGGGCGCAGCAGAACTGTGGGTTGGATGCAGTCGTGATGCCCGAGTAGATAAAGCACTGCTCGACTGTCTGCCCTTCTGGTTCTTATTCCGAAGCCTTCGTGGGACAGGGGCCACAGCTATGGTCTCGGCAGCTTTTCTTTTTGAGCAGAGCTTCCTTCTGCTTGATCGCTTATATAGAGCTTGGGTTATTTTGGAGTTACTTTTAATGCAGTCTTCTCACCTTTGGTTCCTTGAGTGGCCTGGCAGGTGTACTGGCCCAACTCATTCCTCAAGGTGTGAGTGATTAAGAAGGCGACGGTGTTTGAGAACTAGTTAAGCCACAAGAGTTGCTGGACAAAATGCTCTTCATGTTAAATTGTACTTTGGAAGCTCTGTGAGTTAGAAGACAGTGACTTCATACTGCGTCTTACGCAGCGCTGTGTCCAGAAATGGCAATAATTTGTAAAGGTTCTCATGAAGCAATTGTGTTTGGTTGAAACAGCTTGCTGACCCCTCGGGTGTCCTGATGGTGCCAGCCTAACAATGTGGGCTGTTGGCTTTTTACAGCCTGTGTTTATTACTCAGCAGGCCTTGATACTGTTGATGTTAAACAAAATTAAGAAAAATAATAGTAATAATAATCTCAGCATGGAAGTTGGAAGATAACTTTGACCATGGTTCAGATAGGCTTATGCATCTTTCCTTGTGAAATAATTCCAAACAGCTGAGTTTGCTTAGAGTATTGAATCACAGTTTTGACAGTTATTTCTTCAAATGAAGGCTACAGTTTTGGCTTTGAATATTAGCACTGGGCTGTTCACAACCTTTTTCAGTCAGTTTGATCATTTCAGTAGCAGAATCATGTTGTATCACTCTTCTTTACACAGCTGATATGCCTGACAGGCAGATTCTAATTTTCCTTGTACATCAAAAGAGCCGTTAGTTAAGGATGAGTCATTTTTATTATTATTATTATTTTAAATTTAAAATTGCGAAGGAATGCTAGTCTGGATGTTATTAACCATTGATTCTTTTTTCCTGTAGAGTTTTTCTGCATACAGATTAAGAGGAAATTTAGCGTAACTTTTAGATCCTGCTTTGCACTTCTGTGATAGGTATTAAAAAAGTAATGAAGAAACTATGCAGTGAGGCACTAAATGAAGCAGTAATTACAGCAGGTTTTCTTCTGGGATTTGTTTTTGAGAGAAGAAAGCAAATTCCTGTACTTATTGATGGTGACAGACATTCCTTCAAATTTAGGTCAAAATTTAGCAACATAATGGTTTTGCTTTTATTGTCTTATTTTGCTCATAAAATCAGTAACTTCATTTTGCGGTTCCTTATGCCCCTTATGAGGTGCCTGATCTCTGAAGTGAACCTGTGGTTTAATCTGCAGTTCAGAAATGCCTGTGGAGGCAAAGATTTTTCTATGATTTCTCTCTTGGAGATTTTTGTTGGTAAACTGGGTATTGCCAGCAGCTACAGGAGTATATAGCTGTTGCTTTAGATACTTTTCTAGTATGTGAGATAGTAGGTTTGCCTTTCAAGGTTTGGCCTTTTGGAGTAATTGAGTAATTCCTCTTTTTTTTTCTTTTTTTGTTTTTAATAGACATCATGTCAAGCCCAGGGAAGGATAACTTCAGAATGAAAAGCTACAAAAATAATGCACTTAATCCTCAAGAAATGCGCAGACGAAGAGAAGAGGAAGGAATCCAGCTTCGGAAACAGAAAAGGGAAGAACAAGTAAGTATCCTGATGGGCTGTTAACTGTTAAATGCTCATGCAGTTGAATTCAGATATGTGAAAGGACTTGAGCAGATTCCTCCTGTGAAGCAGAAGCCAGAGCACCAAATTGAAAGTGTTTTCTGTGCAATCTTGGGGAGCACAAGGCACCTCTTGGTAGGATTATAAATCAAAAAGGTGGACACAAGCCCTGTAAGTCAGTGTGGCATTTCAGGTAGAGACCTGTGTCTTAAATCGAGTCCTTAGTCTCGTTTTCAATACGTGAGCAGAAAACTGAGCTGAAAGGCTAACCTTATTTCTGGGAAGAATGGGAAAACCTGCATTCTCTTCTAAAATTTGCGCCAGAGATGCACTATTAGAAGTGAGAGGACTTCAAATTGCTCAAGAGTTTTTCTATCATAGCGTAGTGTAATGGTCAACAAATAGTGGTCTGTAAACATGAAATTACAGATAATTTAATACGATATTTAAGTTGTCTTTATTGATTTTGATTTTTATTTCTTAGTGTTCAGAGTACTGTATAATTTCATAGTTGGTAGTAATTCCTTTCCCCAAAATATTTAGTAGTTCATTGCCTGGAAAATGAGGAATATAGTTTTTTCTTCTGCTTGCTCTAAAGTGGCTGACTTTTGTCTCCCACCACCTAGTGTGTCCCAGGCACTGATCTACAGTCCCCTCTGAGGTGGGAGTGCTTACCCTTCTCCTGGGAGAGTGGTGCTACTGCATGGAAAAAGAATTTATATTAGTTGGGCCAGAGAGGTAAGAGTAAGAAGCAGTATGCTGCTGGAGCATTTACCTGTGATTGAGTTCTTCTGAATTGCAGTTCCTGCTCAAAGTTCTTTGTATTTTGTAATAAATGCTCCGTAGGCAAATAATTTATTAAAACAAAGAGAAAAACATTGTTTCCCATGCTGAATGTGGTGATAGTTGAGAATACCTTGACCATAATTGTTGGATGGGTGTTTTCGTCTCCTTTAGCGCTGGTAGGATCAAGTTTGTGCAGGGAAATGAGTCTGGTTTTCTCCAGATAAATTATAAATTGTAGAGAGAGTGTCTTCCTGGGCAAAAATGGTTTACGTTTTTATCATTTATATTTTACAAGATCCTGTATGGCATTGTTGAGTGCTAGGAAGAATGGCTGATTTTCTAAAAGAGGAACATTGATTCTTCTTCCCTTTGTGGGTTTAATTAAAACCTCGTTTGTGTTCAGGACTGTGCAGTTGTTAGGGTCCAAGTTTGTGCTCAATCCAGAGTTTGATCAAGCAAAGGAGAGAATGCTTTGTTTTTGGTTCCTATCTGAAATATAACTACATGTAAACATGGTGTTTCTCATTTAGTTTTGGGCACTTGTGACCACAGAAATACTGAAATGTCTGTAGACAACTTTGAGAACAGCGCTTACTTCAGGACTTAACAGGAGTTTCCATTATTATGCTTCCCAATGAAATCTGAGACACTCAGTGGTCTGAGATTCTAATATTTGCTTTTAAGGTTACCAACATGATATTCTTAAAATTGTTAAGGATTGTAGTTTTATGAGTAGTAGTAAATTAAAGGTACTAACTGTAGGTTTGGTCTGTGGGAGTAAACAGGCTAACGTGATTGTTGTGTTTGCATGCTAGAAAATGAGGAGGTACTCATTAAGCATAGCTTATTAAATACTGCAGCACAGGTATGTATTTTAAACACACGTGGTGTTTGAAGCCAGTACCAAATGTTTTTTGGATATAGAGAACATTTAAGGTTACATAATTTGAAAGCTTGCCTTCAATCTACGTCATTTGTTTCCAACTACAGTTTTAGTTTTCTAAATAAACTTGTATACTAAGTGTAGCTACTGTTCAATTGGCATGCAAGGAGATTTTATGCTTTCTTTTAAAGTGTGGAGTACAGTGTGCTGACACAGACTTTGCCTTTGTGTTGATGTTTTATGCCTCAAAATTAAGAAAGAATACTATTTCCCTCTTAAAAATAAATGCTAAACTATGAAGTATGAAACAATGAAAATAAAAAGATTTGTATCATCATCGCCGTTGTCTGAGAGATTTATAAATCTTTTCTTTGCTCAAAACCTCCAGTTTTGTTAATTTTGGCCTGAAGTCTTGCAGCGCTATTTATCAAGATGCTGAAGATAGCAGTGTTTTTTCTGTTACGTTCTTAAAACTTTAAAGTAGAATTGCATTTGTGTGAATGAACTGGAAGGTGAGTTGAAGCGTTTTGATTCGTAGAGGTGAAAGCCAGTGTCCTCAAGTAATAATCAGTATCCACTGTGCGATAAACTCCCCCCACGTTTCTTCTTCGTTTAGCTCTTTAAACGCCGAAATGTTTCTCTCCCGGGAAATGAAGAATCTATGGTGGAAAGTCCAATTCAGGATCCTGACGTCAGCTCTACTGTACCTATTCCAGAGGTAATAACTCTAGAATGTTTAGAACTTTATGTGTTTATACTAGTCCTACAAAATCCCTATTTCGTTTTTAGGAAGAAGTTATTACAGTTGATATGGTGCAGATGATTTTCTCAGATGATCCTGATCAGCAACTCACAGCAACTCAGAAATTCAGGAAGTTGTTATCTAAAGGTATGTAAGTGTTGCTTTTTCTTCTTCCTCTTATTTTATTATTACAAATTTTAGTCAAACAGAATCAGTTAACATTAAATTTTACTTTTTTAAAGTAGAGCTTGCAGAAGCTTCTCAGTTTGTGTTTAACAAAAACAGTACCAAATCTATTCTAACCTAACGACTAAATGCAAAAAAAGCTTTATTATTCTGTTGTTAAGTCTTCTGGACAAAATCACAAAAAAGGATGTTTTGATTGAAGCACCCAAGGCAGTAACTAACAACAGCACACTACCATTACTTGAAGTACTTGTTTTGGTAATTGGTTTTCTAATTCTGTTTTTGAGGGGATAAAAACTATGGCTTGTCAAAGAATGGCTGTAATTTTGTGTTGTTGTTGTTCATGTTCTTGTTGGGATTGTAAAAATGTAGTCTTAAATTCATGCTGGTATTTGTAAAGTACTGTACAGGCATGTGCTTGATTATTTAAAGTTATTTAAAATTAATTTATTTTAATTTAATTTTAATTAATTTAATTTTAATTTAATTTAAAATAAATTAAAGTTATTTAGTTATTTATTATTTAAAGTTATTTAAAGACTGAGGGAAGAGTGTTGTGCTAACCTCCCAATAGGCGACAGTATGTGTTATTGTACAGAATGGAGCAATTGCTAAGTTATAGCGTGTTAAGAGATTATCCAGCAATCTTCAGAAGGAGAAAAAGCTTAACTCCTTCCTTCAGACCTATTAAAATGTCTGAAAATTTATGTTAAGTTTTCTGAGAATCATTCATGTTTTGTGTTGTACTGAAAAAGTAACTGCAGTGGTCTTTTCTCGTTAGTCTTATGCATATGTGCTTTTGTATTTTTATCCCCCAGAGCCTAATCCACCCATAGATGAAGTCATCCAAAAGCCTGGAGTAGTACAGAGATTTGTGAAGTTTCTAGAGAGGAGTGAGAATTACACACTGCAAGTGAGTTTGGCTGCTGCTTGGTTAGGGTTTGGAATGGGGTCAGAAATCCTGAGAACAGCTTTGGAAAGCATGTTATTTAAAAAAAATATTAAAAATAAGAAAATGTAATTATATCTATCAAAGCTGTAAGTTTTAGATATCCCAAGTTTTAACAATTGCCACTGGAATTGTAGCTCAACTCTTGTGAATTTCACAGTAGTCTTTAGGGTAATGTATTTAGTTGGTCATGTATTTGGATGTAGAAAGAGGGCTTTGTTCAAGAGAATTTCCAGAATGGTGTATTGAAAGTATCAGTATAGATGTGTGAGCAGAATCTGGGTGTTTTTTTTTTATTTTTCAGTTTTTGTTTTTTTTTTTTCCTTGGAAGTAGTGTACTGTTCTACAGTTGGAAATCTTACAAAAGAAATAAAATACATGAAAACTTGAAAGCTAAAACTCTTGGAAAGAAATCTTGGAAAAATAAGTGACAAACAGTAAGAGTAACTGGTAACCTTGTGCACATTTGCATTGAAATGACTGAGCATAGCATAAAAAGATTTATATGAAAAGATTTAGAGATAATCTTAATGCACAGAAATTACAGTAACATGTTTCAGTGGAAAGGAAAAGAAGTTGGAAAAGTAACCTCTGGAACTCTTGTGTCAAACTGCTTACAATAAATTTTTGGGGTTTTTTGTTTGTTTGTTTTCTGCTGAGTTATTTAACATGTTTTGTTTGTTTTTTTTTTTTCTCCTCAACAGTTTGAAGCAGCTTGGGCTCTAACAAACATAGCATCTGGAACCTTTCTACATACAAAAGTTGTAATTGAAACTGGAGCTGTTCCAATTTTTATAAAATTGCTTAGTTCAGAACATGAAGATGTACAGGAACAGGTAACTGTTTTCTTGCAATGTTTTATAACTTCAAAATTAATTTAGGAATGTCTTTCCTCCCATCCAGTTTTTTTCTTTTAGTTCAGATAAAGAAATCTGAGTCCCATTGACTTATTATACCATTGATTTGACTCCAGGAAAACAGAAATTTGGATTTAATGTCCCTTATGATCCCCTAACCCCTTCCAGTTTTTCCAAGTCCTTATGAGCCTGTTTTGTTTCTTTTTTTTTAATATTGTTTAATAATCTGAGGAAAGCACCTCATTTCTTTTGTGCTGTGTACAAGTGGACAGAATCTAAAACAGGGTAACAGAATATAGTGGAAAACAAAATGTTCTAGATTACAACGCAGCTTTATTTCTTAGGTACTTCTTCTTAAAGTCTTAATCAGTGTCTTCCTGAATTTGTTTTTTGTTAGTTTTTCTGTATTTTCATCTTCACATAATAGGTAATATTACAGACTTTGCATAAGTTCACAGAAAATTCAGAAAATAATCAGTAGTCTTCTGAAGTGTTATATTAATAATTATGCTGTGACTTTTTGGATTCCCTTGTTTTTGTTGTAAAAATATGTAGACTATTTGTACAGATATGTAAATATCTGATTTGCAGACATGTATAAGTTCACTTGGATGCTTTCATTTTTAAGGCAGTGTGGGCTCTTGGTAACATTGCTGGTGATAACGCAGAATGCAGAGACTTCGTCTTAAACTGTGGAATATTACCACCCCTCTTGGAGTAAGTATTACAAATTGTTACCAACATCAGGTGGGAAAGATGATGTAAGTGATACATTTGTGTGATTCTAACTGGTTGGCTTCCCTGCTTTTTTGTCTGGTAGCTCCAAACTTCAGTCTGTGTTTGGTTGCTGAGATGTGCCAGCAGACTGCTTGTTACACGAGCAGTGTTCCACTGGCAGATTTCTCTTCATTACGAGTATAATTCCACTGCTTACTGTACTTCTGCAGTGGGCTATGAAGTAGCTTGATCACAGGGGAAAAAGCTACCCAACACAACTAGCATTCAAGTTCTTTGAACTTAAAATACCAAGTTGACTTAAAACATTTTTAAAACAGCTTAAAGGAACATAATGTGATTGCTTTCCTTGAGGATTTAAAGGCTGAAGGGTTTGATAAGTTTTGATATGTATCTGAAAGTGAACCTGATTTTTCAGCTATTGAATTTTTCCAGGTCTATTCTGTTAAAAACAGTAAAACAAATGAAAAAAAAATCTTCAAGTTCTAGTATTTTATGCAGCCTTTATTAAAATATTAATTGGGTCTTACGAATTAAAACATCAGTGTTAGCTCTAGGGTAGTTTGCATTTTCTAACCACTTTGAAAAGGATTAGTCAGGTGATTTTTTTTATTTTCCTATGAGCAGTGGCTTACTTTATACACATGTGTATTTGTTTTAAGAATGTGATGTTTATGGACATAACAGTCCCTTCTAAGAAAATTCAGTGTCATTTAAACTATAAAGAGAAGTAACGTAGAACTTGTGCCCAATAAGAAGATTGTTTTTTGTTTTGTGATACAAGGCATTGATGGCAGTAGATGAGAAAAAACCTTTGCAACGATTTTTTACTTTTATTTTCTATCTCTTTGACAGACTGTTAACAAATTCAAATCGTCTTACCACAACTAGAAATGCAGTCTGGGCACTCTCGAATCTCTGTAGAGGCAAGAATCCACCTCCAGACTTCAGTAAGGTATAATGAAGTACTCATTTCAAGAAATTGGAAAGCTAAAGGAAGCCTCTGTTTGTAATATAATGCAGTCTTTCTATCTGGAGATAGACAAGACTGTGTGATCACATTAAAAACATGAAATTGAGTCTATTTGTTGTATCTGCTCAACATTTTCTACTTTGACCTGTTAGCAGTTAAATGAAATAATTAAATGACTGAGAAGTTTGAGAAGTTATTTAGTCAGATGCAGGTAGTCATTCACTGAAACAGTGACAAGCAAGGAGTACTTTTGGTGGCACCAAATCCTTTTGGTCTGTATTTTCTGTAGGTACATGTTAGAGGATGTAAGTTATGATTGAAGCTTTTCTTTTTTACTTTCCTTTTTTTATGCTGTGATTACTTAATAAGATATTGCAGGAATAAAATTTTCCGTGCTGTTTATAGAGCAAAAAATTCAGTTAATTCAGACTACTGTGACAGAGGTGATTTGCCCTCTCTCATTCACTTTATCTCCACTTTTTGAGACAGTAAGACTGTCTCTAGTTAGGAGTATTAGCTTTTTATTTTCAGTGTGAAATTTAATTTCTGGTAATGGTAGTGGCAGTAGAAAATGGAATATCATGTTGAGTATTCTGGCTGATGTTAAAATGATCGCTGAATGTAATTTGGAGTCAATTTGTGTGTCTTAAAACTTCGCTCACAGAATACAGAGTTGCTACTTGTTAATCTCTCCGCAGGAATCACTACAAAAGGAGATTTCTGATGCCAGTTAATCAATCACCTCACAATTGCTGTAGCTAAATTATGTCTTCCAGTAGTGTTTCATTCTGGCAGCAAAAAAAAAAAAAAGATTCCTTGCTGCTTAAGCTACTTTAACTTTAGTGGAAGAGGATATCCTGTATGCAGCTGCTAATAAGAGTAGCTCCTTTCCTTCTTCTCCTTAGCGATAGTACTAGCAGGACACAGTTAGGAACTCTTTGAAAGGGTTGATAACTGTAGGACAAGGGGAAATGGTTTTAAGTTGAAGGGTGTTAGGGTCAGAGCTTTTAGTTAAAATGAGGTTAGCCATAGCTTGTTTGAATCAGTGAATGTTGATTTTACTCTTAGATTCTTAAAGTGACTGCAAATTGATTATTACTAATAACAAATCGTGCTTCTGTACAATTGTTCTTTTGAGTGACTCAGGAAAGCATCAGTAATTCTTGATTATCTCTAGAAGCGGATAATTGTCAAAGCTGAGCAACCATACACCTAATGTAGTATCTACAAGTAAGTAGGCTGTTAATTGAATCAGCTAATTTGCTGATTTGAATTGGATGTCTAGTTTAATCAGAAAATGTTTCACCTAGGTCCTGTTTCACTGATGAACTCATGGTTTGGCAGGAAATAGTGTTGCATTTACATGCCTTTGCAGAATGTTTTCTGAAGTACACAAAACACTTAATTTTGCAACATTTTTCTTTAACCCAGGTTGCTCCTTGCTTAAATGTTTTATCAAGACTGTTGTTTAGCAGTGATCCGGATGTATTAGCAGATGCTTGCTGGGCCCTCTCTTACCTTTCAGATGGACCCAATGATAAAATCCAAGCTGTTATTGATTCTGGAGTGTGCCGAAGATTGGTAGAGTTGCTTATGTAAGTTCTCTCTTTACCAATAACTGCCTTGTGATATAGTTAATGAATACAAACAGAGTTGTGTTTTTTTCACCTGAAATCTGAATTTATTTTTATGAAACAATGAGCATATCAATCTGATAGCTTTTCAGCTGTCTCCTAGCTTGCTTGGCTCCTGGGATTTTTTCAGCGGTTGACAGTGAAAAATGCTTTCTCTAAAATACTCCTTGATGTTAAATAATAAGAAGTAGGATTTCATTTGCATGGTGTTGACTGAAGATGAAGTTTTAATTGTGAATCAATCTCTCAGCTTAAAAATTTTAGTTTTCATGTTGCATTTTTTCTTGTTGAAAACTGATGTATTTTTTTTGAACTCACGAAGTCTGGAGTCAGGCTTGTGCTACTTTTGAACTGTTGCAGAATACTTATTTTATGGTTCGTTATTTTCTTTGAGAAGGAGACTTAAATCCCTGTGTTTGAATGGGGACTGCAACATAGGTCAGATGGTAGTTCCCAACACTGACAACATAGTACAGGTCCATTTGGTTGCACTTGTAAAACTTGTTTAAATAACAGGAGAACAGGATGAAGTAATGCTGTGTTCTCTATAACTAAAAGTTTACCACCCAAAGCAAATCACTGCTAACTGAAAATTCACAATTATACTGTGCTACTTGTTAACATCAAGCAATATTTGTCTCCAGGCACAATGATTACAAGGTGGTATCCCCTGCATTAAGAGCAGTTGGAAATATTGTTACTGGTGATGATATTCAAACACAGGTAAGACGTTGATTTAAGAAAAAAAAATTGTCTAGAAGGAAAGTAGTTGTAAAAATGTCATACTAAATTACAATTGAATGCATGTCTAATACAAGTGTCTGCATATATATAGGCCACATACATTAAGGTCACAAAAATGCTCCAAGGGTTGGAACACCTCTTATGAGGACAGGCTGAGAGAGCTGGGGCTGTTCAACCTGGAGAAGGTTCCAGAATGACCTGATAATGGCCTTTCTGTGTCTAAAGGAGGGCTATAAGAAGTAAGGGAACAGTTTCTTTAGCAGAGTTTGTTGAGGTAAGACAAGGGGGAATGGTTTCAAACTAAAAGACAGGAGATTTAGATTGGACATAAGAAATTCTTTACAGTAGGGTTGGTGAGGCACTGGAAAAAGGTTGGTTAAAAGAGGTGGTGGGAGCCCTGTCTCTAGAGGTGTTCAAGGTCATGCTGATGGAGCTCTGAGCACCCTGGTGGAGCTTTAGATGTCCTTGTTCCTGGCAGAGGAGTTGAGCTAATGGCTTTTAAGGGTCCCTTCCAACTCAAAAGGTTCTGTGATATGAAATTGAAGGAAGCTCTACAAATGTGTACTGCTCATTTGACATTTAGTTTAGTCTGGTATTTTAATCATAAAATTCCTGCGCTTTATTACAGCATTGTTTGCTGTAATAGATTCACTGTTCAGATTGCTTCATTCTTGTATGGTATTTCAAATGCTGCTTTCCATTAATGGTGGAATTATTTATTTTCCTAATTGGGGGATTCAGTTGTGTTACAGTTCCCTTTTTCAAGCCTTCAAATGCAAAGTTCTCATTGTTTTAAGCAGTGCATACACTTGTTTTGTTCATAAATTTGTGTATGATAGTCTGATAAAAGTTTGTTACAGGATACATTTTGTTTAAATTTTGGAAAGTAGAATTGAATTTGAAGTAGTGCAAGAAAGTTACCAAGGTCCTTGGAAGTAAATTGTGCCTGAAAGGCCTACAGTACTAGTGTAAAAGGAAAATAGTGAAATCAGGTAATTGCCAAATTTATCGTGAGCTCTATTGGAGCAGATTTCATTAAGGAGTTAGAAAATATATATCCCTTTATAAAGAATGAACTAATTAGGTTTACACTTCTCAGAGGTATAAAAATAGATGCTCTGGCACTAAGCAGCCTTATGCACTCTTGGTGTCTTTAGTCTTCTGATGTGAACTTAGTTGAGGGCAGTTTCTTTCAAATTGTATGGACAACTGGATTTGTATTCAGATGGTACAGTATTGAGCAAATGCTGGATGTTAGTTTTGATACTTTTTGTCACGTAAATGTGTTGCAAAGTACACCTCTTTTGAATTTACCTGTAATGTGATTCATCTGTGCATATACATACACAAATCAATCTTCAATTCTCCCATTATTTTAGGTGATTCTAAATTGCTCTGCATTGCCCTGTCTCTTGCATTTGCTTAGTAGTCCCAAGGAATCTATTCGAAAAGAAGCGTGCTGGACTGTTTCTAATATTACTGCAGGAAACAGAGCTCAAATTCAGGTACAAACTATGTATAGCAATTTGGGTGGGTTTGTTTTTAGTATTTTATTTGATTTTCATTCACAAAGGGAAATAAGATGCTACATTGATTGCATTACTTGTTGTAGTCCTAACAGTCTATAATTCTGTGTAAGTTTTGAATGTCTTGAATAAAATTGCCAAAGTGAAGTTCTGTTGAGATCAAGTGAGGCTTGATTTCTAGTTCAAAATTTCAAATTTTGTGCTTATGTCACATGATTTTTCAGTAGATCTGTCTGGTAAGGAGTATCCTGATCACCAGAGAGAAATCAACTAATTGCAACATTGGAATAGTCCTGAATTTTCTTTTAGCATTTGTAGTTAGTGGAATGCCTTCTAAGAAAACATTGCTTCCTTTGGTATGAACAGGCATTGCTTACCACTGTAGTGAGGTTATTAATCTTTTTGCCCTCTGTATGTTAACCTCTATAAATTATCATTATCCTCTTCTTGTTTCTTAGGCAGTTATAGATGCAAATATTTTTCCTATATTGATTGAGATTCTTCAGAAAGCTGAATTTCGCACCAGAAAAGAAGCAGCATGGGCCATAACTAATGCAACATCAGGAGGAACCTCTGAACAGATTAGGTAAGCTGTGGTGTTGTTTTCTCTGCCTAGATACCTTTTCTAACGCATGTTCTTCCTCAGATTGAATCCTGACAAACAGGGCAACAAAAAACTAAGCATAACTATAATTTTTTTAAGCTCTGTCTATGCTGACTTAAACATATAGAAGCTCAGAAAAAAATTGGAAAATTTATGCAGTAGAATTAATAAACTAACTCAATTAATTTGGTTTGGGGATGTTAGAACTAAACCTTTCATGGGATTATTTTCCAGAGTCAATATTGTGCTGTCAGGCACTATTTAAACATTCAGCAAACAGTGTGTTTTGAAAATGGAAAACTTTAGGACAGTTGTTCAGAAACTTGTGCAATATGATTGCATCTCTCTGTAGGAGGACTTAGGAGGTTTCTTCATGTACGTTACTTCTTGCTAATAGCTAACTTTTTCCAAAATGGGATTTGATTAAAAATCTACTTGGCAGCTATCAAAATACTACAGAGAGTGGACCTGTTGAATAACTAGAATAAAACACATTCTGAGAAACTAGAGAGCCATTAACAAACTGATCAAATTCAATCAATAGCTGATAAATGGATTCTAAAATGATCATGTAAAGTATTAAAAATTTAAAAACCTGAGTGCACAAAATTATGTAGCAACTCCACCAGCGTGTTTGGGAGATTTGTTGCAATAACTGCATGTTTGTTTATTTAAAAAAAAATAAAATCTCATTCTGATTTTCTTACTGTACTGCCACTGCTTGTTTTCAGTGGTAAGGAAAGTTTTTTGGTATTGTGCATTTATTGTTGGTAGTTTGGGTTTGGTTTTGTTATTTTAGTAGCTTGCACAATGTGTTATCTTAAATTTAATAGCAGTCTTCAAATACCAAACATATATCATGTATGTAATAGCACAAAAGTTGCTTCTTACCATAAAGTACAGAGTTGCTAAATTTCATGACAGCTATTACTGTCAAGAAATTTTAGCACTTCTAAGATACCCAAGATACTACTGTGCAGCTGTAGGATAATTTAAAACAACTGATAAATATTTAAACAATCCTTTGATTCAAACATTAGTGTCATTGTTTTCCATACAGACTGGAAACAAGAACATAAGTAACGTCTTCCAGAAGTTAGGATTTTGTGCAAAATTGGAAAAAGGTTGCTCAGAATCGCAGTATTTTGTTGTATTTACTGTTATGTCCTTTCCAGTGGATAATTGGACTGGTATCTTGATGGGCTAACAATATGAACTGTGTTGGTTCAGAGCCATGTCCCCTCTTCTTTGTGTGATTTTTTTTATTTTTTATTTTTGCTGCAAAGTTTCTAATGCCTGAGAAAAGAACTTACTGCCAATACTGTCATTTTCTCGTGTACTCATTCAAATCCATCTGAGGATCATAAGTGGAAAGAAGTTGAATAGACTACAAATGTGGAAGTCCTGTTAGGAATGTACATTACATTTTCTCATTAGGATAAATTAGAATATTTATTGTATTTCAGACTGAGGTTATCTTTGTGTTTCATGCTTTAGATTATTTGTTGCAGTTGTTTCAACCATTTATTTTATAACAAAATCACAGCTAATGTGTAACGACGTCATATAAGAGTAAATGTGCTGGTTTATCAGACCTCCTTTTCCACCCCAACCTCTTCTGTTTTTTCTGCTGTCCTAAAGGTATTTGGTAGCACTAGGTTGTACCAAGCCTCTTTGTGACCTCCTGACTGTGATGGATTCAAAAATAGTACAGGTGGCTTTGAATGGACTTGAAAATATTCTGCGTCTTGGAGAACAAGAGTCTAAGCAAAATGGAATGGGCATTAATCCTTATTGTGCCCTTATAGAGGAAGCATATGGTAAGAATTTACTTACTGCAAGGCTACATACCTAAACTTACCTGTTCCAGGGAAATGTAAAAAATGTAGTGAACTATTTTGGTGAGTATAAGAATTTGTACTTCAAACGTAAGTAGACTTTAAATCATTGCAGATTAAGTATTGGCATAAATTTATCACCTAAACCTGCAGCATAGTTTTATTACTTTAATATATAATTCTGTCCTGTTCAGTTTCATTACTGTATAGGGATGAATGATCAGAGTTAGTTTTGCTTATTCCTGAAGTCAGTCACTTTTTAACATAGTAAATATCAGTAATTGCAAGAATTCTTATGAAGTTTATGAGTATACGTGGAAGTATTTTGTTCTGTTTCTTTTAAGATTTGTGGAATTAAACTGTATTTCAAAAGCAGTTTAAACTATCAAAATTAAAATTACATTTGTTGAATTTCATGGCTAGGTACTTCTGACTTTAAATTTAAACATCGATTTTGTTATCATAATGAGTTCAGCATTATTTATGGAGGCTTATCTTTTTGTAATTTCTGACAGCATAAAAATGGCAGATGTTTGTGTTTCATCAACTGGTCATAACAGTTCTGGATGGCTGTATTATATCTGACTGGATAGTACTAACTTTTCTTCCAAGTAGGCACTAAATCTGAATTCTCTGTTTAGGAGCTGCATTTCTAAAATCTGCAACCTGCAGGACCTTCTTTGTAGCCTAAGATATAAGAGGAATAAAAGTATTTATTTGGCTTAATGAAATTTATTCTGGTCCAAATCTTGTCCAAAGTCTGTTCTAAATTTCACTTACACATAGAGAACCTAGACAATAAATTTGCTAGTTGAGTAGACTATTGGAGCTGAGTAGGGGAATTAGCTGATGGCATCACACTTATTTCTCCAGCCTCTATCGTAACCAGAAGAATTTCTTTTTAGCCCTTCCTAATTTGATGTAAATTGAAACTGAAACATCTTAAACAGCTAAAAATGAGTTCTGAGTCTTCATCTACCTGATGTCCAGGTACTCTGACAGCAGGTTATTTCCTCCAGCTTGCTTGTGATAAGCCTTTGGAAATAAAGCATCATCAAATTACAGAGGAAATTTGAAAAAAAGTGATACTAAGCTGATAGATGTGATGATAGTATTTAGTGTTTTTGAAGACTGTGAAAGTGAAAGAAAAGGAATGAGGGTATTGGAAATGGCTGTGGCAAGCAGTTTTATGCTGTCGTGACTGCATACTTACTTGCTTTCTGTGTATACAAATTCTATGTGGGTACAATAAACACTTCCTCCCTAGATTAATTTATATTCTTTTAGCATGACAAATAGTTTGAACAGCAGAAGTTGCAGAAAACGAAACATAAAAATAGGTGGGTTAAGAAATTCAGTAATATATCCATTAGGAGCATTTGGTGTGGGGAAAAAAAGGCAAAAAGAATAGAAAGGGAGGGGGAAAAAAGAAAAAGAAAAAACACAACCACACGATTGTATGTGCAAATCAGTTATACCAAATAAAAGAAATGCAACCCCAAACCATCTCAGTTCATCTAAGTACCACCAGAAAGTTTTCATCCTTAGAATCAGTTTCCCTTTAAATTCTTCTGAAGAAACTAGACTATGAAAATGTTTTGTTTTGAACTTAGGACTTGATAAAATTGAATTTCTTCAGAGACATGAAAACCAGGAGATCTACCAAAAGGCTTTTGAACTCATAGAGCATTACTTTGGCGTTGAAGAAGAGGATTCCAGTATTGCACCTCAGGTGGATGAAAGTCAGCAGCAGTTTGTTTTCCAACAGCAGGAGGCTCCAATGGAGGGGTTTCAGTTGTGAACTATTCAAGTGAAGACAAGTAGAAAATGTATACACTTGTAGAGTTTTTGTTTGTGTTCCTGAAGTCTTTTCTTTATGGCCAAAGGTAGAGGGAAATTTGAGTATGTTTTGCAGAAATAGATGAAGAAGCAGCTCATGCACTTTTGTATTTTGTTAGATACAACTGTTCTTTGTTCTGTACTTGTTTGGTTTTTTGTTGTTTTTTTTTTGATTCTCATATGTACAGAAAACAACTGTGAGTAATCATGTCTAAACTAAAACATTACATGTGATTTAACAGGAACTGCTAAGCTAAGACTTAAAAGGATTTTAGGCAGTAGTTCTGAATCTTTCTTGTTGTCTCGAACTCCGTATCAGCAATACAGTTATTGACAGTTGTATTTTTGGCAGTAGGCTTGACTTGCCCAGTCTATCAAATCTACCTCTTGTATTGAAGCATTGAACATTGCTTCAGAACTAAGGCATGAAATAAAGATGAGCTTGTTAGAAGCTGAATTGGAATGTGAAAAATATTTATTTAAATTATGAAACTTCCACATGTTACTTACTTTACCACATGCTGTTGGAATTTATTTATAAAATGTATTTAAAGACATAAATACATATATATAATGATAATTACACAATATATAATACTGAGTACCTGAAAAAGCTTTTACACAATTATGTGGGAAGAGACTGTTTCAGAAGTTTTCAAATTGGAATCAGCAGAGGGCTTGCTGGTCACTTGGTGCTTGCTCTGTAATTAAAGCTGCTAAATGGCATTTAAAGTCAGCCACAAATACAATACTTTGCTGTGGAAGCAGTTGCTGTAGTTACCACAAGAATGCTGCAATCATGGATGACAGAGATGGTCATTGGTACAGTTGGAAATACAAAGCAGATGGTTTACAGCTGTCTCCTGCCAAAATGTAGTAACAGCACTTCAGCTGGGGAAACGTTGCAGTGTTAGTCTTTCTAGTAACAGTAGCTTCTTAAAGGTTGAGAAAGTAGGTGTTACATTTTTGATCAAATATGCTACCACCACTTGAGTTATTCTGAAGTTAACTAACTCAGTTCTCTTCTGGTAAGACAATGAAAATACTGCAAGGAGGAATGAGTAGAGAATCACTCCTTTCCAGCTAATTGACAATTTGTTATACTGTAAATACACGTTAAGTTTGTGGACACCAAAACTAACTAGAAGTTACTGTATTCTAAATATTTAGGCTCTGCTGTGCACAGTGTTTGCTGTTTAAACACTAACAGAAACAGAATTCTAATATTCACGTTAACAGTTTTGAGTACAGAAGAATGTGTGCTGTGCTTGGACTTGCATATATGCAGTGTTTCTGGAATATCAGTAGATGTTTCATTTGGATAAACTAATACTTTGGATTAACTAAAGTATGATTTATTTTTTTTTTTTATCTGTAATTAATATATTATCTTCAAACTCCTGGGTTAAGTGAGTTGGCATATGACAGCATTTCATACTTCATAAAAAGCTGCAGTTCAAACATGAAATTACTTATCCCATGGCACTGTGCACAATATTTTAATGCACTGAAAAATACGTATTAAAGGTGATATCATCTACAGTACCATTTTATATCTAGAGTTTTTTTACGTGCAAGTTAGGATTCTAAGATGTTTCGCTTTGTTGTTGCAGCAATATATAATTGTATTGTAATTGAATGTGGGACTTGAAGTGGATTTTTTAAGATTAATGATCAGTTTTGACTAAGATGTAATTGGGAGGAATGAAGTCTCTTTTTGAAGTCTTTGTACTGGAATTTAGACGTGTAAGAGATGTGTATATAGGAGTGCTGTTACTTTATGAACTCTGAATAATGAGATATTTTATCAAATGACACTTTAAACCTAGATTTGTACAGCATACAATGGTTTTGAATAGCGTGATAATCTGAGTTACAGCTGCCAAATTTTCATATAATATTAGATGATTGTATTTGTGCCCTTTTTACTCTTACAGTTTTCAGTTTGCGTATGCTGACCTTCCTTCTCACCATCTGTTCAAAGTACAGGGTAGTGATCATGGAAATGTACTACGATTGTTAGTAAATGCTGAATTTCTATGTTCTTCTAGTGTAGAAATAAAGAATTCAGGTAACAGGGTATTCCATTATTTCTAACAGACTTGTTTTGATAATGTTATGTAACCAGTTGTGCCTGCTTTTTATTTGGAGGACCTTACAAACACTGCATTTATAAGCGTCTCTAACTTAAACCAAAATCTGAACTATAAAAATCTCAATTGGAAGGCTTGAAAATGAAATGAGGGGGCGTACAAAGTATTATATTTGTTTTGAAAGAATGTCTTCAGTTTTGTGGGTATGTTGTCTGAACAGTTAGTGACTGCACTTTATGCATTTAGGTAAATATATTTCATGTCTGATATATTTAAGTGTAATAGCTTAAAAGGGAGATAAAAGTGATGGGCTTTAGCTAATGAAACAGTTATTTGAACTCAACACTTGGTTTACTCTGACGTTGTTCAAAAAAATATGTCTTTGTAAGCATGGTCCTTCCTGTTTTATCATTGGATTTCTTGCACATTTGGTTAAAAGCACAGTAATGAACAGTATAAAAAGATGATGTCTTACAGTCAGCTCTGGTGTAGTCACCTGTCAGTAGAGATGTGAGCATAACAATGTTGCCTAAACAGACGAACCACTGAAGGGAAAAAAAAAACAACTGAAAAAAGCATTTTGGTGTTTGTATGAGAATACTGATGTGCCTCGTCAGTTGTGAAGTCTGTTTCAAAATACAGTTTTGGAAAGTTTGGGTATTGGGCACCTTTTGTTTTGCTTAAATGTGGATACCAGCTAGCTAATCTATGCAACTATGCAAAGCATGGAATTTATTTTTCAGTTCCCTACTCTTGACACACTGAATCATATCTAAGTTTTTCATCGTTGCACTTTTGTCTGAGGACTGGTTCATACAGCTTTTTAATTTTCCAGTATTTGCTTTAAAAACTGTTGCTAGCAGCAATCAAAAAATAGTAATAATGTTGGCCCAGAAATAAGTTGTAGGAGAAGTTGGCAACTGGAAAGTTTCTGTTGTCAGGTCTGTCTTAAAAATAAGTAAAATAAAAAGATGCACTATTGTCTTTCTTCTGTGGCTAGTTCTCAGTTGGTTTAAACTTAATAAATTGTCCAACTGAGGATTTTTGTCATTGGTCTGCCAGCTGATAAAATTTCAACAGTGACCTCAAGAATTCACTGAAATCTGGAATGAGAAATTTCAGTTACCGCACAAGATCTTCATATAACGTGTACAGACTTAACGTACCTGTATTATCTTCAGATAGCAATAGTGCATCTTTAAATCCAGGCCAAAGGCCAGTTACTGTAACAAAACACGTATGAGTAGTATGCAATTTTAGGGAATGTTAAATCTCCAAATACCATACAGAAACCAATAAAAACCTATTTTGCAGAAGCGTGCTGTGTTTGGTGTTTTAATGAGTGTGGCTTCTTAGGCTGGAAAACACGAATGCTGTTTTGAATACAACATTGAGAAAAATGAATTTGGAAAGGCTGGTTTGTGCACTTTGGCCGAGCACCTCTTGTTTTTAAATAGATTTTTAAACATCTGACCAAACGTACAGTTGTGTGATGGTCACATGTAGAACTGACCACTCGTTTGGGAAATTCTTAGTGAAGTCTTTAAGGACTAGAGAATTTGGTAATCATCAATTTGTTTCCCTTGCCTTCCTTCCCCAAGCCTTCTCTGAGTATGTAAAATTTTGAAGCGTTCTTGCCAATTAGTTTGTTACATGCTTAGCACTACAAAAATTCATTGTTTGTCCCCTTATTTTTGCAGTTTCAGTATTGTTACTTCAGTACTGTTTGGTCTTTGCTGTACTTAACCTTTCACTAAGAAAATGCAACTAGGTTTTCCAGTAAGGAACTCTGATCTTTTTAGTAGAACTCAATGTCAAGCCTGAAAGAAAGGTTTTAGGGCAGATTGTGGGCACTTGGCAAGCCCTTTACTTTTCATTCTTAGGCATCTACCTCATCTTCTTTGCGATTATTGGTTTTAATCATGTGCAACGCACTCTGGTTTTAATCAGGTGCAAGTGTGTGTGCTATCTTCAACAAAAGCCTCAGTTTGTGTGATCTCAGAATCGCTGCTGTTAGTTTCTGTTTGTGCAATGCTAAAGTTGTCCATTTGGTGGTGAAATTCACTAACCTCTCTTGACTGTTAACTTTGCTCCTGCAAGGACACGAAGCATCTCACAAAGTTACTTTGGCTTTGACTCCGCTGCCAGTGCGGCCTCTTTCCTCCACTTCTCCTTCTTTGCCAAATTCCAGCTTGTCAGGGATTCGTGCCGTGCTGCAGCCTGCGGAAGGAAAGCCCTTCTTGAGAGTAGTGTTGTGAGTCACCATTGGCATGGAGAAATGGGCCTGGTCTCGGGATTAACCACCAACTTAATGCTTTTGTTTCAAAGCAATGGGAGCACTGTTACCCTAAGTTCTCACAGAATGCCACCACTTTGAGGTATGCTACACAGAAGCTAGCCAGCAGTATGCTCACCTTTTTTGCTGAAGCAATCACTGCAAAACAGGCAACAATTGAAAGGCCGATCATGATGTAACAAGCTTTAACACGGGCTTTGTTCCTTGCCCTGTCTAGCATCTCTGGCCTGCAATTAAAGTTTTGGAACGAAGTCATTAAAAAATGGAAGCATTTCTCAAGTTCTCACAGTTGTAATATCACTACTGCAGAGTGGAAATAAATTGACTCTGGAAAGAAGCTTCTATTGCTGTGGTGATTGGGTTTGTACCACCCAGGTGCACCCTTAACCATTTCCAGCAGAAAAATGACATTTAAAGGATTGTGGAATATTCTAATCTGAAAAAAAAAAAAAAAAAAAAAAAACCAAAACATTTGCACTGAAGTGCTTGAGGTAAACATGCTACAAATTGCACCTGAAGCTCACAGTGTGATGTAGGGGGATTTATGAGAACCAGGAATAAGGGAAACCTCCCCATTACTGCAAGCATCCAGAAATTTCGGTGAAGTCATTCCCTGAGCCAGACGTGGCACTTGGCAAGCACTGTTTCTACGATATTTGTTATAGTACTGAATGTGTGCTATTTTCCTTTATTTTCTTAAATTGGTTTTAATTACATCAAATATGCATATATATATATATATATATACATATATATACATGTTTCTCAAAGGTTTAACACAATGAAAAGGACGAATTACAGGCAGCTCTGCTGTACTTCCCCCAGTGCTTACAGCGCCCGCACCCGGATGCAGGGCAGGTTCCTGGCTAATGGCTGGCAATGCAATGCTTACAAGAAACCCCTTTCACATTACAATGTAAGCACAACATCTTTAAAACAAACCGCACAACAGACTGCCACCTAAAGCCATTAATCCAGAAGCCATTTGTAAGAACAAAAGCAAAGCTCTAAGTGTTATTGGTCTGGCTTATAAACCTAATTATATTTCTCAGTGCACTAATTGAAATTCTTCAGAAGCAGGTTTTCACTTTCTCCTAGCTTTCTGTCCCTGCTTTAAGGAGAACAAACCTTATTATCTCCTCTAATTGCACATTAAGGACTCTGTTACTCTATCCCTCATCAAGGTCCTGGCTAAGCCTCTGCCGAAGGCAGTAACAGCTGTTTGCTGTCATTGATATAAACATTTTGAGTGAGGGCTGCAGGTTTGACCCTCATCTTACCACACATCTTCAGCAGGCACATTTTGTTCACAGATAGCAAACAGTTTCTTGCAGTGCTTTATTAACACTGAAAACTGATACAGTTCAACTTGAACATCTTAAAACTAACTTATTTTAGAATGTTGTGGTGACTCCTAGAAATGTGTTGCTCACACAGAAGGTAGAAAGTCTGTCCAAGTGCTTACTGTGCACATGTGCAGGGATTAGCAGAGTACCTTTACAAACACCTTTCAATGACTTCAGTAGTGCAAATAATGCTTCTGAGACCTGCCTGGACCTTCCTGTAAGAAAAGGCAGTGGGATAAGCACTGAGTAAGAGCAGTTGGACACTCGGGTAAAGCTGCTGCTCAGCCCCAGATGCAGCAGCAACACTGCTGGGAACAAACAGGTGAAGGAAAGGCTGGGGGACACCCTCAGTGGTTCATACAGTTCTGTGTGCTGCAATGGCACAAAGTGGTCCTGGAGACCTTGGGAAAAGCAACTTAGAGCAAGTTGAGGTGAGCAGGGGTCAACCAGAGGCTGAGGCTGCATCAAGTATTCAACTGTCCTAGGATTTGCCTTTGGGGATTTTTTTCTCACGACCTCTGTATCTATTTTTTTTTCCTCATATTCTTCTTTAAGCTATAATAAATTACAGTTTGGCTGATGCAATCATTTAGCGGCTCTCAGCTCCCTTAGAGCTGTTTATGGGAGCAATAAATAGAACACGCAGTTTGTGATAACATCCTTCTCTGATTACACATCAGGAATAAACAAACAAGGCAGTGTGGATGTATACCAACAACATGCAGAGACCAAGGCAAGAGTCCAATTCTTAATTACAGCATCTGGGGACTCCAGTAGGGAACATTTTTTCTAACTTGTCAGCAACACAGGAGAGTTTTCTTCCTGCTAGTTCATTTCAAAGCTCTCAGTGCCAAAAGTTCTTCCCAGTTTGAGCTCAGCAGTGCTCTGCTGGGCACCCTCTGCCCTTCAACCCAGTGCCACCCTTGGAATAAACTTACGGGATCCTCAGAGGAATTTCTTCTTCCGTTTTGAAGCGACCGGTCCACAGGAGGATTTTTTTGTCAAACTTTGAAGGTTTGTAGCTTGCAACCACCTTGTGTGCCTGTTCAGCTGAAGGATTGGAAGGAAACACCCCATCAGGCCATGATGAGTGGCAGTAATGAGTGGAAAGAGCAAATCCCTCTTAGTGCTCTAGTAGCCAGAGGAGGAATCATACCACAGAATATATTTGTGTTGGAAGGGACCCTAAAGCCCATCCGGGTTCATACCCTTGTTGAGAGCAGAGTTGCCCCACCAGCTCAGGCTGCCCATGGCCCCATCCAACCTGGCCTTGAGCTTCTCCAGGGATAGAGGGATGGAGGTGCTTCTCCCTCTGCACAGCCCTTGGACCACTTCCCTTGGGGAGCATCCTTGTGGCTCTCGTTCAAACATCCCTCTACCTACAGACTCACACTTGGGCGTTTAAGCCAGAAGGCAAAATAACGAAGCCAGGGTGACCGTGGGGAGCCCTCAATCCCCAGCCTAGCCCTGTCCTTACCTCGGGGGTCTCCTGGGCCCCGCCCGGGCCCGTCGCCGGCGGCGGCTCCGCTTAGTGAGGCCGGGCGGAGCAACGGGGCACCTCTCAGCCTCCCGGGAAAGAGGCGCAGCGGCAGTGGCAGCATGGGTACGGCCGGGCAGCACCGCACCGCCGGGTCCCTCGCTCTGCTCTGCCCTGCTCTGCTCTGCTCTGTTCTGCTCTGCTCTGCTCTGCCCTGCTCAGCTCTGAGGGGCTGAGAGGAGCTGCCTGCCTCCACTTCACCCGCCCACCTTA